CCCGATCCCTGCTGATCCCGACTTCCCCCAAAACTCCCTCCCTACCCCCGACCTTGATCCCGACCGATTGTGCTTCCCCATGGGATCTGCCCCCCTCCCTCTCCCCACGCTCCCCCCCCGCAGATTACCCTCCGCCCGCGCACGTGTGCACCCGGGCTTGCTGGGAGCGGCCCACCTGTTACAAGATAACGCAGGTGTCTTAAGATGAGCTCAACGAGAACAGAAATCTCGTGTGGAGCAAAAGGGCAAAAGCTCATTTGATTTTGATTTCCAGTACGAATACAAACTGTGAGAGCCTGGCCTATTGATCCTCTGACGTTTCAGGACTTCAAGCAGGAGGTATCAGAAAAGTTACCACACGGATCACTGGTTGGTGGCCGCCATCATCATCACCATCATCAGCATCATCATCGTCCTCGTCAGTGCCGTCATTGCCGACGTCATCATTGCGTTGGCTCGTCATCATCAGTTCGCGCATTTGATCCGGCGACCTCGTCGTTCCACCGGGGGAACGATTGAGAAGACCCTTTAGGGGTTGATTGAAGACCTTCCTCGACTAGGAGGAAGGACCTTGATTGCTCCCGGCCGACCGGGAGCGCGGTATCATCAATCTCACCCCCTCTTACTAATTCTCTCCCTTCCTCCCGTCGATCTCTCCTAAAGTTCTCACCTTTTTCCTCTTCTTCCATCTCCTCTCCATCCCCCCTGTCCTCCTCTCCCATCCCACCCAATTGGTCGCATCATCTAAAATTCCTAACGCGCGTGATGCGTATATCTTCGTTTTGTGCTTGTTTAACAATGCCGTCCATCCCACTGTGCGGAACGTTGACCTAATTCGATAGGATTAATCTTCATTCTCTCTTCTTCCAACGCTGCGAACGGAATTAATTCCGGAGTTTTCGTTCAAAAGTTACGTGAAATTCTTTATTATCTCAAATTCTTTCATAAATTAGTTTAAAATTTGATTTCAATTCAGAAATTCGTGAAATAGATTTCGGAATTTATAAAATTTAATCCTTCTGAGGTCCACTCTACTTCTACTTTTTATCCCCCGTAAAATTCCGAAATTCTGCAATTCTTTTTTAAATTCTTTTGGAATTCTTTTGGAATTCTCTCAAATTCTTCTTAATTTTACAAACTCCTCATCTCTCTCTCTCTCACACCATCTCCGCACGTGCCCTCTGCACGTGCGTCACAAGCTGCTTCCGGAAGAAGCCAGGGAAAGGCTCATGTTACCCTGTAACCAACCGGTGTGCTGCAACTGTCTGATAACCCACATGCAGAATTGACAAAAATAGGCCTCTCGTAAATATTCTGCCCCGCCTTCACTTAGGGCGGGCACAAGTCTGTACGGGGCCTCAGCTGAGATGTGGGGTGAGCCAAAAGAAGGGCCACTGCGCAGATTCAGGCCCGCATACAGATTCCAACAGCCGTGCAGCGTGATCACACTGGCCTGTACCCAGGCCTTGGCACATATTAGCAGGCCCGCCTTACCTAGGGCGGGCAATACCTTTTCCAGCACTGCCGAGGGCTCAAATCCTCGCACACGGACCTCTTATTTATAAAAACTGGAAACCAGGTCCAGTATCCCTTTCGTCATGTACACACATTTAACACTCGCCTCCGTTATGGTCAAGATTTTCATGCAATACTATAGCAATGACGTGATTATGACGGGCAAAAAAAAGGGAGAGATCATCTTAGTGAAAACCAGTGGAATTGACAAAGGGTAAAAAACTTTAAAAAAGGTAAAGAGTTAAAAAAACAGTAGAATTGTGTAGAGGACCAGACGTGGAGGCATACGGAGCGTGCGAGCTGGTGGGCAGTTGGGCCCAGGCAAGCATAGCTCCCTGGGAAAACCAACCCGCTCAAAATGGGGTGCGTAGTACTGCGCATTTGAAAAAGAGAAAGAAGGAACAGAATTCCAACTTCTGGCCGGATCAGTGGTCATCCTCTGTATTTTTGCCATTCGGTGATGGTTTATTCGGGTGGAGTTGGGGGTTGTGAACGGGGGTTAGGGGTTAAGGGAGTTGCCTTAGTTATTTATCATGTTTATGGTTGAATTCAGGAAGGCATTTTGAGGTTGCCCTGAGCCAAAAGTTATTCTTATCACAAGCCTACGGAACCTTCTGTCCTTCCAGATCGCTTTTTTTTTCCTGAAGTTTCTTCCTATTTTCACTGAGGCTTCCCGGCACGTATCACAGACCTTCCCCCAGCAAAGCCACCACCTGCCAGAGCGAGCTGCGCTGATGGATATATGTCCAAATGGCAGCACAAGCGGTTCACAATTTGTGCGGCCTTTTTTGACACGAACAACGAAGTTGGCTTCTTCATACATCTCTTGACAGCGAAACAATGTTGGGCGTGAGATCCATTTACATGTAAGGTGTTTTCGCAAGACCAAGCATAAAGCCATGTGACACATCTGGCTGGCAGTTATCATACACATATCAAGCTGCCATGACAAAGCACGAAGGTAAACTTTCTTTACCGATGATTGTCGTCTTGCAGATTGCTCCTCGAACAGCCAACGGACACAAGTCACTCGACAAACAATCTTCGAATGAGGAAAGTGAGGCATGGGGCACTCAACACACATGTCAGCAGCAGAGGTGAGAGTACAAAACGAAGAACGTCTGCTAAAAAACTGCACAGGCGTAATTGGGGACAGCGCAGAGGGCGATGGAGAACCTCAACTCGGAGCTCAGGGTACAAAGTCCAGCGCATGGAAGGTCCACAGGGTGGCACTTCTGATTCGGTGTCTCTGCGAGAAATGCAATGCGTGGAAGCACAGGCACAAACGGCTCCATCCTCACAAGTCGCTGTATGTTCTGAGGCCAATGACTTGCTGTCGATGGTAAACTTTGAACAGTTTCTGCAACAAGTTGGCAATGAACAGGAGGTATGGGCACAAAGGGCAGCTTCAGACATGGCAGCAATAAACTCAGCAAGCATGCCACAATGGCAAGAGACGAAATTCAATTCAAATAACATGGGCTCTGGAGACTGTGGTATGCCAGCGTTGAAAACAACAGAAAGCAGAACAGCAATGATGGACACTGCATCACCAGCATCAACATTAAGGTCTGCATTGCAGAAGTCTTTTCCGGATGTTTCGCAGTGGTACAACATTGTTATCAATAACGGATTACATGAAGTTTTGACACAACTTCTCTGGCAGGACTACATCAGAAGACCATCGACAGCCGGTACACCAGACATATGGGAGAGGTTCTGCCATCACAGAAGAGTCAGAGAATGGGCTTTAGGAAAACGACCTGACCATAGAAATGAAGCGATGAGGAATAGGCAAACATTTGCCTTCCTCAATGCAGTCCTTCAAGATGACTACCAAAGGCAAAATGATAGAGGAATCTCGTATGAGAGATATAGATACGAGCGAATGGTCCAGGTAGCTACAAGGCTAGCTCCCCCAAACGCCCTCCGTAGGCATAACATAGAGCAATCCCAGCTGCAAACAATGTCACTACCTCACATGGCTGAGTGGTGGAGACCACTCCAGCATTGGGGAACCAGACGAGTCCTCTCACACATTCGTTATCAACAAAACATAAGAAGGGAGTATGCAGTTGCAGCCATTCCTGAAAGCCCAGATTCCTGGGAGTACCTCAACGCGGTCTTGCAGATTGACTACAGGGGAGATCATCCAGCAACAATGCCATTTACAGCGTACAGATCAGACATCATTCAGCGTGTTGCCTATGCTCTTCAAGCAGAGGATGAATACACACAATTAGTACATTTCTGAGGCCACCCTTACAGGTAATGTTGCCGACTCCACCACGATCCATCGAAGGGCTCTTCCTCTCTGCATGTAAATTGGGAACAAATTCAACAAAGCCTATCTTAAGACGAAAAAAAACAGACTCTGAAATTTTGTGATGACAAGTTACATCAACAACCCTAAACCGGCCTCCTGGAAACAGGATCATTCTCTTCATTCGTTTCACATCCCACCTTCTTTCCCTTTTATGCGAGGGAGGCGGGGGGGTGGGGGGGGAGTGGGGGGGGGTGGAGGAAGTGGGGACGATAAGGAAGGGGTATGGAGGTTGGTGGTAGGGGATGCAGGGTTGGGGGGGGGGGCAGTTGCTTTTGTGGTGGCATTTCCCATTCTTGACTCTGGAGTCGAACCATGGAGCTTTTGTGTTGAGCGGGTCCTTGTGGTGTGTCTTTGCTGAGTGGGTTGCTGGACTGTTGACGAGGGGATGGGCTGCCCTCTCTGAAAACTAACACCAAGGAAGGTTTGTAATCGTGCAATGACCCATTGACCTTCAGGGTGGAAATTGAAAGGTTGAAGAAGGATCTGACAGCCACTCTCGACAAAGTGAAGAGGAAAGAAGATAAACTCGCAGGACATCTGGCTGCCAATGCTGTGGCAAAAGTCGACAAGAATCGTGAAGTGAGAGCAGAGGAAAGGGTGAAGGAGTTAGAGGCACGGCTGAGGGACAGCGAGAAACGAGCGCAGGAGCTAGAAGCCGAGGTTGAAGAGCGTAAGGGAAGATGCTTCAACCTAGAATTGATGGTGAAGGACATGGAGAGGCAAGTGAAGGAGCTGGAGAGGGAAAGAGATGGTTACAAGATCCTTGTTGCCCAACATTCAAATAGTGATGATGCTTTAAGGGGAGAGGTATGTATATCTGACTATCCTCCACAGAAGGTGTGGTGCATGGTATTCCATTTGTGGGACTGATCATGGTTGCTTTGTTGATGCCAGTGCATTGCTGGGAATTGAGCGTACAGATAAGTCAAAGCATGTGTTAGCTCTTCTACGGTTCTACCTTATTTGTATTTCAATGGTCCCATATTTCTTTTCAGAATTTTGTTTCAAAAGGCTGGGCATGAAAAATTCCCAAGGGGGGCACACTCAAAATTCCACACCCTGCTGCCAGGCCTCCCACGTCAAGACGCACTCCCTTCCCACTGCTGCACGCCTGGGTTGACAACGGGGCGGTGCTGGTTTAGCACAACTGAGTAGTTTTGTTTCCTACCTACTGGGCTATGTGCTGTGCAGGAGCTCTAGTGCACTACCCTTTTGCATCATGTGTCAATGTCACCTTCGCTGGCTTGCATTTGTCACAACCAATGAGAGCATTTTGGTTTCCGGGTTTGTGTAGTTGTATGCTTGATTTGCATGATGGGCTGTCTCGTGAATGTGCAAGTGTCACACAGAAGGGTGACAGAAAACAGAAACGGGGGACGTGTGGCTCAAATGCTGCCCACTGTACCACCCAGTGCTAGTTCGTACAACCATGTTGCTGCAGCTAGGAAGTCTAAGGCATGTAAACTTCTCAGCACAGTGGTTCAAGCGAAGGCTGTGACCACCTGTGATCAGACACATGGTGGGAGTAAAGTGGAAGAGCAACATTGGAAGAATAAAAGATGATGAAGGTGAGGAGGAAGAAGCAGGACAAACATACATAAGAGGAGAAGGGGGGAAGGATGATGATGCTCGAAACACTTCTTGGTACTGCTATTTATCTATTTTGGTGCAAGAGCAGGCGGAGCAGGGTGAGGCAGTGGCCAAGCGACTTTGAACATGGTGGCAAGGATGAAGAGGGAAGAGGAGGGAGAACTTGGCGGAATTGTTCAGGAGAAGGGTAAATCATACACAGGCTTCTCATTACAGTTTGAGCACTTGCAGGTTGCCCCGTCTAATTGGCCAGTGTTATGAAGACTGAAGACGAGTTAGCAGAGCAGGAGGAGGAAGCGGAGTAGGCAGTGGAGGTGGAGGAAGAGAGGGAGGAGGCTAGAGGATCACAAGTTGTTTATTTGTCGTGCTCCCTGTTTGTACAGCATGTTTTTTTAGAAGAATTCGCTCCTCTTTGCTCTCCCATTAAGAGAACAAAGGACAAAAAGGACAAGGAAGAAAAGGAGGGAAAGCAGGAAGAGGAGTGAGAGGAGGGGGCTGGGCTGCTGGGCTGAGGAGGGATGGAGGGGGCCAAGGGTGAGAAAAGGATAATGAGCCAACCACGGTCACGAAGAGAAGCAGGTAGGTTGACTTCAAATATCTTATGAAGGGATGACCCACATTGACACACAGCCTTCCCCTCAACATGCGTGTAAAGCATCTTGCAACCACCATAGGGGCGTGCCACCCCACCCACGTGCTTGTAAAGCATCTTGTGAACCTCGTTGACACTCTTATCTCTATCACTGACGCTGTAAATCCAGCACGGCAGGAGCAGGACTCCTTAACTGGTAAAAGTGCCATCAACTGCTAAAAAAAATTGCTAATCCTGCCTATGTCACTAACCTCCTGTGTATGCGTGTTCAGTATGTATGTGAAGAGCACAACAGAGCATGGCCCACAGAAACAGGATCCGACACACAACAGTACCATGCATGCAAGTACGTCATAACAAATGTTTTACCAACAAGTGCACAAAACCAATTGCGTGGACTGGGCAGAATTTTCTGCAGTATTAACCGGCTTTTCAGGCAGCACAGATACAAGCAAACTGAAGACAAGCGTACCCAGCTGCAATATCTTTAGGGTCGGCGGGGTGTCCCTAAAGCGCTTTTGGCTGCTGCGCCAAAGCAATATCGTCAGAGGGAGGGAGAGCATTCAGGCAGAACTGTTTTTTAAACCGCCAGTACAATGGAGATACCCTACCGAACCTATCTGCGGCCAATGCCCGATGCTATGGGAGGGCAGGCCGAAAGAAGAGTTGTGGCTGCCTCATGAAAAAAAAAGAGAAAAAGAATGACATGAGAGGGGGGGCGCTTTGTCACCGCTAGAAGCCGAGAAAAGATGAGTTGCATCCATTGGGGGGGGGGGGGGGGGAGAACAGAACCAAAAAGAACGAAGGCCTCGCTCCACAACTCACCACGTGCACAGAAGACAAAAAACATGGCGGTGTATCTTTACATGTTCCAGAGGAAGATTCGTTCTCATTTTACACATATGGTGGGGACAAGTTTCAAGGAGGGTGGTGGGGAGTGTGCGACACAGGCCCTTTGTGGGAAGAAATGAAAGTGAGTATGGGCACATGTAAAATGTGTGCAGCCACCGTAGCAACCTAAGAAAAAGGATCCCTGGCGACTGTGTGTGCTTCACAATGTACATGTCTGTCTAATCCCTTCTTTTGCTTGTGTCACAAATTCAGTTGCTACTGTCACCTCGAAGGAGAGTGTTGTGTGGAAGTGTGTGTTGGGAGTGTTGGGGTTGGAAAGGTTTCACTCACCTGTATGTGCATGTAATTATGCATGCGCATCTGTCTGTGGGTGAAGTTGAAATAGGGGGAGTACGGAAGGGAGTGGACAGAAGGGAAAGATAGAGGAAGGGTGGATGAGACATAAAAATCCCATGAAAAACTGCCAAGGGCACTTACTTGAATGTACTCATTGGAAATCTCTGCTTTCATTACTAGCTGATGGAGGCGAAGAAGGAAATGGCAGCGGCTATTGCGGCGGTCAACAGTGCACATGAACAGTCATCTCTTGGACAGGGTTCAAGAGCAGCAGTACAATCACTGCCGCGTGTAGCTGCTCATCCAGGTGGCAATGGAATGTCCCTGTCAGGGATTCAAGGAAAGGAAATGGAGGTCGCGTACACGGACAGAGAGAGGTTACTGATTGAGAGGGGCCGTCAATTGGAGGAGAAAAATATGAGGCAGGAAATGGTTTTAAGGCGTCATGAACAGGTCATCAAAGAGCAAGAGAGAAAGTTAAGACAAATGAGGGAGGAAGAGGAGGACAGACGGGGCCAAGCCAACAGTATGGAGGTGGCTTTGCTGAGGACGCAGGTGAGTTTCCAATCCAAAGGAGTCCAAAGGCTCTGGCCCCATGTAATGAAACGAAGTTCTTCTGTCTACAACCTCAAACTAACCTGGGTTTGCAACCATTGATTTTCACAGAGGTGCCCTTAGGATGAGCATTGACAGTCCTGAGGCTTTCCGTGTTCAAGTCAGGCCCAGACACACCTGAGGCATCATGGTTTTTTATGTTTCCCGACTTTTTTTTTTTTTTTTTTTTTTTTTTTTTTTTTTTTTTAAACAGGTCCTTATGGTCCTAGCCCTGTCTCTTATACACATCTAGATGTGTATA